GCGAGATCTCATGCTTTTGTAAAGCTTCTCGGAGAGGTCTCTAATGTGTCTAGCTGCTTTCCTTGTCATTTCGCAGAAAATGTTGGTGTTGATGCGTAAAGTGTTGTTTATTGTAAGAGCTTGCTCGGGATTTTTAGTTCGGTTTCTCATAGACGTCGCCAGTGTTGAGCTTTATTCCTCGGTGTCCAAAGGCCCAACACATTCTTTTGGCCTTCGTCAGAATTCCTTGGGTGATTAGATTTGTTAATGAGTGGTTAAAGGCAAGGAAATAACAAGACAAGTGAATAATTAGAGGCAGGGTGGAATCCAATTATATTCAAATCTATAGAACAATTACAACACTTCTATCGAGCGGCGCTCCAACCCTCTTGGATAAGCTGAAAGCTACTGAGAAGAACTAGAGAGAAGTTTAATGCTTCATGATACAAAATTGTCAACCCTTTCTAATGAAATAAATGATGTTATTTATACTACAAGTCAGTAGGTGGAGGGGCTGACGTGACCGACCCTGAGTGGATGAACCCTCAACAATAAAATCTTCCATATATGGTGCACTAAATGTGCTTCCGGCCAACTCTGGAGTTCCCGCCAAATGTTTGGGGAAAGTTCAGACATGGTCGGCTGCTAGACTGAGAAGAGAAACCCAAGTGAGGGGGGCGGACCATGCGGCAATGCCCGTGTGGGATCGGCGAATGCCTATCCCAAAGTGGCTATCTTTGTTGCTAACATGCGTGTGTTTTGGGCCCTTGGGGATATTTGGACTTGTAATGGTATGGCCAGGGCCTAATATATTACATGGCATGTTTAACTACCAAGATATATTACATGGCTTCAACCAATGCTACTAGAATTGCACATGCCTTTTTATCCCAATAATTTCCATTGTGGCAATCAAGTATCCTCACATTGTAATTTGTCCTTATCTTATTTATTCCTTGAGCGTACAAACTATAGAGAACGGTCGATAGGTTGTCACTTCATCCGTGAATGTGTGTTAATTGACACCATGCACACTAATTAGTAGTGCATAATTACATGTTTTATGTTTGATTTATGTTGATCGTTTGACGTTTTATTTAGTTTGTAAACATTTATGTGATTTCAGTTGTAATTGTATTTTAGTCTTTATTTATAAGTTGTAAAGTATAGTTAAGATTTGTGGTGTTGGAAAGGAAGACTTTGAAGAGAAAACAAGAAATTTGACTGCCCAGGAGTAAAACCCGACCATGTAGAAACCCCCACCTTGTCGGGTATGATTTAACGAACGAAATTGCCAAGAAAATCACTGGACCCGGTCGGGTCCCCTACTTGACCCGGTCGGGTCAGATGTGAACCGGGACAAAACGACGTGCGAAGATCACCAGAACGTGGCAGATTATCTGATTTTGACCGGACCCGGTCGGGTAAGTACTTGACCCGGTCGGGTACCCGGCCAAAGGTGTTGAAAAACACCTATAAATAGCACACTTTTTCTTCTCTAAAAATAATCCCTTCTTCCATACTCCTAAGCTCAGTTTAGAATAGCATTTCTTATATTTTTATAGCATGTTTAGTCTCCAAATGAGGAGCTAAACTTCCATTTCTTGGTGTTGCTCTTGAAGCTTGTTGATTATTAAAGTTGTGAGTTATTTTCTTAACTTCTTCCCTTGAATATTAATTATTAGTTCTTTCCTTAATACTATCTCTATATTAATGTTGGGGAGTGTTGCTAAGATGACAATTAGTTAACATCTTGATATTAATTATAGTAGGATTCATCTTCTTTAATAATATTCTTCCTTGAATATTAATTAATTCCTACTCTTATTTCATATTAATAATTTGAACATTACTTAAAGGATTAACTAGTTTTGTTTCATATATTAATTAGTACTAGAAACGATCAACGAACCGATGATTAATCGTTGATGGTTTCACAAGTAAGTAACTTCGGTTTATTAATGCACGGTCGTGGTTAATTAACTTAAGAGGGATTAATTTTGTTGGTTAAACCGAAACCGCTTGTGTTGAGGTTATCAATCTCAATTGATTTCATCAAGGAGTTTGAAAGATTAAATGCTACTATTAAATCGGTATAAGACGTTGTTCTATATTTGATTAATAGTAAGGGTTATTAATGAACGGTCGTTGTTAATAACTACCCTCGATGAAGTGGATATACTCCCCGATTGAGTATTCGAGAGGGAATAAGTTATAGATATAACAATGATCGACTAAAATATATCAACAAGTGGAAAGTAGCAATGCCAAGTCCTTTTTATCTTTGAATTAAACACATATAGGTTGTTCATCTTAGTTCTTAATTAAATTAAACCACTCAATCCAAATCCCCCCTTTTTATTTACTAAGTATCATAAAAAGAGAATTATTCCTTTCCCTGTGGATACGAACTCTACTACGCTATACTACGTATAAGTGTTAATATTGAATTTATTTTGACGCACCGTGACAAAGTAAATTGACAATTACCAACAATTACCAACATCCGTGAATGTGTGTAAATTGACACCCTCTTCACTCCATTTCCTTCTTATCAACAATTACCAACATATTCACCAAACATTATCTTAATGGTGTTACCGTTAATAGAAATATTGCTTTTCAATTTAGCTTCTTTCCGCACGGACTGTATAAAGACAAGACCTAGAGTTCCATACTAAAATATCTTAATATATCATTTTATAACTTTATAGATTTGCAGTGTGAGACTTCAACACCCCTCCTAACAATCAGACACTTTGTTTGGATCGTGACGTCATTCATTTTTTTCGTCAATTCGTCATTGTCATGTTTATAATCGTGTCGGCATTTTTCATAAGGGGGTCCACACCATGGGTATGGATCGATTTGGCTTTGATAACATGTTAAGACCCAGAGCTCCATCTTAAAAGGTCGACCCGTTAGGAGAAGTAGCTCAGATCTTAATATAGCATTTTATTATCTTGTAGATTTCCGGTGTGAGACTTCAACAAAGACGACTAGCATTCAAAACATGATCTTTTTCAATTTCTTATTTTATTGAATTTGTTCCTTATTTTATTTATTAAACTTTTGTGGTTGTTTTCATTGCTTAGTTTGTATTAATGGTAAAGGAAAACTTCAAACTACGAGTTGTGTTTGGCAATTCAAATTCCTAAACAGTAGTAAATAAAAAGTTAAATTACCAAAACGTGAATAATGTTTAAAAATTTCCTAAACACTAGCGGAGTTAGTGTAAAATATTGTATAAACAACTATCCAATTTTTTTTTGTACTGGCCTAATGTTGTGACTACTTCCCTATCCAATTTTCTTCGTAATTATTTATACGAAGAGCAAATTTGCAACAAAAGTCATATGTATGAAATAAAAATAAATCCAATCTTATTTAGGAATTTACGCAACAATTTCATCCTATTTAGTACAACTCATTTCTTATTCGAACTGATATACGTTTGTCCATACATACAGATACGCTGAAAATTATACAGACTAAAGTCACTAAATAAGAGTAATTTTATTCTTGTAAAACAAAAAAACTCAAAAAATATTTCTAAAATACACGACAATATAATGTGACGTAGTTGGGCAAAATAATAAGAGGATCCAGCGGATGCCTGCTGTTTGAATGATCATATTTGAGTTTGGCATATTTTGCATGTGTCAGTGTTTTTTCCAGTTTAAGTTTCAACTAGCTAGTTTTAGTTTCTTCAGTGTTAGATTATGTTTCAGTTTTATGTTCTATGTATGTCTGTCTGATCAAAGACTGTAATTTTCAGTTACTTGGAGTTTATTGTAGTAAAAAGTACACTAACTTAATGGTAAGGAAGAACGGTATATTTCTCGTTTGGTGCTCAGCGATTCACGTTGTTTCCTTAAACGTGATCGTCTTTTTAATCGTAGGGCTTCCCTTCCGTCTAGATAGTTAGAGTTCAATTTGGAGCAGGGCAGCAGTGATCGAACAATTATTTGGGAGGAGGTAAATTGAGCTTTGATGACACATTGATTGAAAGAGAGTGTAGTTTTATATCAAGCTTTGCTTATAGTTGAACTCGAGATCTATTTTTTGTAACACTTTCTTCTTACCAGGTGAGTTGATAATTTAATGTGGGCCCTATTTGGAGGAGGGTTTACAAAGGAGTTGTTAAAATATGTAATTTGTCTACATATTTTGGTAGAAAGTTAATGTGAACGGTTCCTTAATTTGTACTCATCTTTGCGAAAGGTCAATTCTTTTGGTAGAGGTCTTGGACGAATGCGACGCAGTGTCCGTCTTGTTAGACCAAAAAAATGAGCAGTCAAAATTGAACCACGTGGCGGGCCAGTTGAGCGACGAAGTACCACCCCAGCATAAGCCAAACTTTCATGAAGTCAATCACTTACCAGCCCCACGTTGACTAATTACATATTTTTAGACCCACCTCCCACCGTGTCCAAAAGGTGCAATCTACCCACCCCGGGAGCTCCCAGCCCACTCCAACAGGATGATGGAGCAGTTAATCACGGTGACTCAGTCATCAAAGCGGCAGTAGCCTTATACACGTACGCACCAGAAGTTCAGCATTATTTTAGGTTAATCTCCACACGGTCGATGCGGATTTCGAAACTTGGTCACTTGGTCCAATTTTCCCACCACTCGACCAGCTACATGTGCGGGTATTCACTAAGTTAACGGTTTACCTTGAAATCATAAAAGAGAGTATAGTACTTGAAAAAATCTATTATTTGAGTATATGAGTTCTATGAGTATATGAGTATATGAATAATTCTGTGAAAACGTATTACGTAGTATACTTGCTGAAACGTGGTGTCAAGAAAAAATCTGTGAAAACGTATTACGTAGTATACTTGCTGAAACGTGGTGTCAAGAAAAAATCTGTGAAAACGTAATATACTATTATTTGTCGATTTTAAATGTTCAAAAAAATATTTACTTTCTTCTAGCCGGTTCATGAAATTCATTACTCACAATGCGTCCAAATGGTACGGTCTCTCTTTGGCTCAGGGGTAGGGCTATGTGATAGAGTATATAGACTCGAACCCCCGGGTCCCATGACTATTGGGCCCGGACAGCGGCCCACACACATCTTACGGATATCGTTTGTATTATTGTACTGCTTATATGTCATTTGTATGTAACTATGTACTAGATTAGTCTTTTATGTAGTTGGGCTACCGGGCCCATATTAGCGACCCGGCCCATTATTTCCCTATTTATACTCCTCTTGGAGCCATTTGTAACCCTAGAACATAATTACTCATTCAGACTCTACTATTCATTCATCTTCTTCACTATCTTTAGCTCAAATCTCTCCATTTTAATATACTTTGGATACCCTATAATCCATCAATGGTGCTTTCATTGAGAGATTAGAGCAAAATCAAGTGAGAAATCCTCCCAAAATCATACAAAAAAATCATTCCAATCAAAAGAAATCAATAAACATTCCTGGAATTATTATATAAAAAAAAAGGGTCTGCGTCTTTGGCTCTAGAACAACCGTGCGCCGTTCTTCTCCTCCACAACCAGGTCTGCTCAGAATCTTGCCTCGACAATGGAGTTCCCAACGCCCACAGCTTGCCAGTCTTGGTGGAAGCTCGAGGCACCCCACCGCAGCAACTCGCCAATCGCTGAACTACCTCGCTATTCCGCCTCCTTCGCAGCTCGAACTTGAACCGTGTGAGCTACCGCAAAAGCTAAAAAGCGGCAGTCGCGTCTGAGGGTGCTGAACCGTGCTGTGAGCTTCCGCCATTAATGGCCGTTTCAGAGCTCTGCTCGCGACCTGAGCAGAAGCGACATCGAGGATTCGTACTTCCTCTCCAACAGGGACCGCGATCGGTTTGCCTCGCCTTTTCCTTCTGATAGTCTCTCTTTGGTCTCCATACCCGGTGGCAGTGGCTGGCCATTAACAGAGGATAGGTCAAGGGAGTTTCTGGACCAAGTGGAAAAGAATGGGCTGGAATATCTCTGCACAAGTTCTTTCCTTCTGATCGCCTTTTCCTTCTGATCGCAAACATTCCTGGACCAAGTGGAAAAGAATGTGCTGGAGTATCTCTGCACAATTTGTTTCAAGGGCCTATTTTCTTCGTCAGCTCTCAATTATCAGCCCACAATATTCTGGCCCAAATATGAGCTAAGTATCCAAGCAACCCAATACTCCTATTTATGCACTTAAAATATTTATTAAATGATAATAGTATAATTATTACTATTATTAATTATATTATTTCCACCACCATTATGGCGGGTTAAAAACCCCGAGGTGGTGAAGACCATTATGAGGGATTAAAATTTCCCGAGGTCGCTAATGATGCATTATTATTGGCGTTATTATTTTTATCATCGCCATTAGAGCGGGTCAAAAAATCCCAAAGTGGTGGACCCGAGCTCTAGTCTACCGACCATCTTTATTTGATGATTCGGATTATATTTGGGTCCCTTGACCTACCCTAGCCACCTTTATTTGGTGACTCGGGCATCTAAAGATGAGAGCCGCTACCGGCCGCACATGACATTATGCCCGAGAGCGTTAAACGGTACACCTCCTTCTCCGAGACGCTAATCGCGTCGCCCAAAAGCCGTTGCCATGAACAACGCACCTATTGTATTCCGCTTATTTTTTGGAAATGTAAATAGAAGATACCATGTGTCGTATCAGCAGCCTTCGAGCGAAAGGCTCAGGCATACTCCATTGTATTTTGTATCAGCGAAGGGCTCAGGCCTAGCTGAGAGAGCACATCGTCCTGGCCCTGTAAGCCTAGAGTGAAACGCTCAGGTATGGCCGACGATGTCCCCAGGACGATGGGCCCGCAAACGGCCCGCGTCTTGAAATGGGAAGTTCACCGCGTCGTCCACGCGCCAGATCGCAGGACGACAGGCCTGAAATCATGGCCGAGGTGGCAGAATCCCCCCACTCAGGGTTGGGCAACGGCAGCCGTTGGAAACCAACCAAAAGTCTAGCCCGCGTCATAAATAGGTGACGGGACCCCCCTGAGATCACGGACGTTATAAACGATGTCCGAACCGGTCGAAGGACGAGCACACCCTTCGGCCGAAGCCTGAAAGAAGGATACTCCCCGAAATAGAGAACGGAAACGGAAATAGATAAAAAAAAAGAAAAGGAAAAAGAAAAAATAAAAGAGGGAAGCCGAGGACCGCGCGCACTCGCCGGCCTCGAGCAACAAAAAATGAAATCCCCACAACAATACTAAGTACATATCAGGCAAATACTACACATTATGGACGAAGCAAGACCATACATGCGGATTAGACGAGCGCCCAGCGCCGTCCATCATCTTAGACGAGCGCCCAGCGCCGTCCATCATTTTCAGACGAGCGCCCAGCGCCGTCCCTCATTTTCAGACGAGCGCCCAGCGCCGTCCATCATCTCAGACGAGCGCCCAGCGCCGTCCCTCATCTCAGACGAGCGCCCAGCGCCGTCCATCATCTTAGACGAGCGCCCAGCGCCGTCCCACATCTTAGACGAGTGCCCTGCGCCGTCCCTCATTCTTAGACGAGCGCCCAGCGCCATCCCTCATTTTTTAGACGAGCGCCCAGCGCCGTCCCTCATTTTCAGACGAGCGCCCAGCGCCGTCCATCATCTCAGACGAGCGCCCAGCGCCGTCCCTCATCTCAAACGAGTGCCCAACGCCGTCCATCATCTTAGATGAGCGCCCAGCGCCGTCCCACATCTTAGACGAGCGCCTTGCGCCGTCCCTCATTCTTAGACGAGCGCCCAACGCCGTCCCTCATTTTTTAGACGAGCGCCCAGCGCCGTCCCTTATTTTCAGACGAGCGCCCAGCGCCGTCCCTCATCTCAGACGAGCGCCCAGCGCCGTCCTTCATTCTTAGACGAGCGCCCAGCGCCGTCCCTCATTTCTCAGACGAGCGCCCAGCGACGTTCCTCATTTTCATACGAGTGCCCAGCGTCGTCCCTCATCTCAGACGAGCGCCCAGCGCCGTCCCTCATCTGAGGACCGGCTCCTCATCGCCTTTGTCCTCACATCACGACCGGCCCCTCGGCCTCGGCGTGATCATCTATCTCAAGACCGGCTTCCTCAGCGCCGCGAGTCTTGAGCTAGCGATCGGGCTCGCCATCCCTTCCCGGATGGTGACCATCGCCTCTATATGACGATCGGCTTCACCATCGCCTCATCATCATTGTTTGGACCGACTCCTCATCGTCGTCGTCCTCATATCACGACCGGCCCCTCGGCCTCGGCGTGATTATCTATCTCAAGACCGGCTTCCTCAGCGCCGCGAGTCTTGAGCTAGCGATCGGGTTCGCCATCCCTTCCTGGATGGTGACCATCGCCTTTATATGACGATCAGCTTCATCAGCGCCTCGTCATCATATTATAGGACCGGCTCCTCATCGCCGTTGTCCTCACATCACGACCGGCCCCTCGGCCTCGACATGATTATCCATCTCAAGACCGGCTTCCTCAGCGCCGCGAGTCTTGAGCTAGCGATCGGGCTCGCCATCCCTTCCCGGATGGTGACCATCGCCTTTATATGACGATCAGCTTCACCATCGCCTCGTCATCATTGTTTGGACCGACTCCTCATCGTCGTCGTCCTCATATCACAACCGGTCCCTCGGCCTCGGCGTGATTATCCCTCTCAAGACCGGCTTCCTCAGTGTCGCGAGTCTTGAGCTAGCGATCGGGCTCGCCATCCCTTCCCGGATGGTGACCATCGCCTCGTCATCATTGTTTGGACAGACTCCTCATCGTCGTCGTCCTCATATCACGACCGGCCCCTCGGCCTCGGCGTGATTATCTATCTCAAGACCGGCTTCCTCAGTGCCGCGAGTCTTGAGCCAGCGATCGGGCTCGCCATCCCTTCCTGGATGGTGACCATCGCCTTTATATGACGATCAGCTTCATCAGAGCCTCGTCATCATATTATAGGACCGGCTCCTCATCGTCGTTGTCCTCACATCACGACCGGCCCCTCGGCCTCGGCGTGATCATCTATCTCAAGACCGGCTTCCTCAGCGCCGCGAGTCTTGAGCCAGCGATCGGGCTCGCCATCCCTTCCCGGATGGTGACCATCGCCTCTATATGACGATCGGCTTCACCATCTCCTCGTCATCATTATTTGGACCGACTCCTCATCGTCATCGTCCTCATATCACGATCGACCCCCTCGGCCTCGACGTGATTATTTATCTCGAGACCGGTCTTAGTCATTCCTTTACCGGATGACGACCATTGCATGGATTTTTGGACCGGCCCCTCATCGCCGTCGTCCTCACATCATGCCCGGACCCTCGGCCTCGGCGTGATTATCTATCTCAAGACCGACTTCCTCAGCGCCGAGAGTCTTGAGCTGGCGATCGGGCTCACCATCCCTTCCTGGATGGTGACTGTCGCCTTTACATGACGATTGGCCCATCATGGCCTCGTCATCATTTATTGGAACGGCTCATCATCGTCGTCATCCTCACATCGCGGCAGACCCCTCGGTCTCAACGCGATCTTGAGGTAGCGATTGGGCTCACCATCCCTTCCTGGATGGTGACCATCGCCTCTATATGACGGCCGGCTCATCATTGCCCCGCCATCATATCTCGGATTGGTTTTTTCTTCATCGCCATCCGCACATCACGACCGGCCCCTCGGCCTCGGCGTGACTATCTATCTCAAGACCGGCTTCCTCAGCGCCGAGAGTCTTAAGCTAGCGATCGGGCTCGCCATCCCTTCCTGGATGGTGACCATCGCCCTTATATGACGATCGGCTCCATTCTTGCCTCGTCATCATATTATCGGATCGGCTCACCATCTCCGTCCGCACATCAGGATCGGCCCCTCAGCCTCGGCGTGATTATCTATCCCCAAGACCGGTCTCAGTCATTCCTTCATCGGATGGCGACCGCTGCTTGGACTTTTGGATCAGCCTCATACTGCTGACGACCTCGCGTCACGATCGGCCCCTCGGCCATGACGTCACACCCTATCCCAACATCGGCTTCATCAGCGCCGAGTGTGTTGGGCTAGCGATCAGGCTCGCCATCCCCTCCTGGATGGTGACTATCGCCTCTATATGACGATCGGCTCCATCATCGCCTCGTCATCATATTTCGGACTGGCTCCTCATCATTATCATCCGCACATCGCGATCAGCCTCTCGGCCGCGACGTGAGTATTTATCTCAAGACCGGCTCCCAGCGCCGAAGTCTTGTTATAGCGATTGGGCTCGCCATCCCTTCCTGGATGGTGACCGTCGCCTTCATATGACACGCGGCTTATCATTGCCTCATCCTCATATTTGTACCGGCTCGTCAGCGCTGTCGTCCTCATATTCGGACCGACTCATCAGCGTCGTCGCCCTCATATTCAGACAGGCGTCCACCGCCTCGTCTCCCTATTCAGATATAGCGAACATCTTACGGTCTCCGGTTGAAAGGCTAAAGGAGCCCAGAGTTCAGCCATATATCGCTCTGTCATCTTTATTTGATGATGAAGAGCTCATTTGCAGGCCCATCGGCCATATATCGCTCTGTCATCTTTATTTAATGACGAAGAGCTCATCTACAGGCCCATCGGCCATATATCGTTCTGTCATTTTTATTTGATGACGAGGAACTCATTTGTAGGCCTCTGAGCCACATCTTGCTCCGTCATCTTTATTTGATAATGTGGGGCTCTCATGTAGGCCTCTCGGCCATACGTCGCCCCGTCATCTTTATTTGATGACGTGGAGCTCTCATATAGGCCTCTCTCGGCCATACATCGCCCCGTCGTCTTTATTTGACGACGTGGAGCTCTTATGCAGGCCCCTCGGCCGCACCATCGCCCCGTCGTCTTTATTTGACGACGTGGAGCTCTTATGCAGGCCCCTCGGCCGCACCATCGCCCTGTCGTCTTTATTTGACGACGTGGAGCTCTTATGCAGGCCCCTCGGCCGCACCATCACCCCGTCGTCTTTATTTGACGACCTGGAGCTCTTATGCAGGCCCCTCGGCCGCACCATCGCCCTGTCGTCTTTATTTGACGACGTGGAGCTCTTATGCAGGCCCCTCGGCCGCACCATCACCCCGTCGTCTTTATTTGACGACGTGGAGCTCTTATGCAGGCCCTTCGGCCGCACCATCGCCCCGTCGTCTTTATTTGACGACGTGGAGCTCTTATGCAGGCCCCTCGGCCGCACCATCGCCCCGTCGTCTTTATTTGACGACGTGGAGATCTTATGCAGGCCCCTCGGCCGCACACATCGCCCAATCGTCCTTATTCGACAACGTGGAGCTCTCGTACAGGCCTCTCGGCCCATCGGCCTTACGTTCTGGTCATCTTTATTTGATGAACCAGACAGCATATTGTGGACGGTCGCTCGACCCATCCCTTAGTCATCTTTATTTGATGACTAGGACTACTGATCATGATGAGCTACCCACATCTAGAGATCGGCCTCGACCATCGCCCCAGCAGACGGGCACCGTTGCAGCTCCATCTCTAGGCCGAAGGGTTCGCACCTTTTGTTTCATTTTGGGGGCATCCGGTGTACTCTTTTTTCCCTCATTAGGATTTTTTCCCACAGGGTTTTTCCTAATGAGGTTTTTAACGAGGCATCTCCCCATCGTGGATCAAAAGGTGTCAACCCTCGGCCCCCTGTTGAAGACATCATCCGACACGCATTACTCTACTCCTCTTCACGTCATTACACTCGCCTCAAGGAGTGGGGGACTGGAAGAGCGGGGGACTTAGCGCCTCCGTTAACCAAAGAAGCAGAAATTCAAATTTTTGTTCATGAAGTTTACTCACCAGACGACGACAGATCAGCACACAGTTCTACTCTCTTTCACCTCGAATACTCTCGACTCAGAGAGTGGGGGACTCCTGATAGAGTATATAGACTCGAACCCCCGGGTCCCATGACTATTGGGCCCGGACAGCGGCCCACACACATCTTACGGATATCGTTTGTATTATTGTACTGCTTATATGTCATTTGTATGTAACTATGTACTAGATTAGTCTTTTATGTAGTTGGGCTACCGGGCCCATATTAGCGACCCAACCCATTATTTCCCTATTTATACTCCTCTTGGAGCCATTTGTAATCCTAGAACATAATTACTCATTCAGACTCTACTATTCATTCATCTTCTTCACTATCTTTAGCTCAAATCTCTCCATTTTAATATACTTTGGATACCCTATAATCCATCACTATGATAAATTACTAGTGAAATCTTTTTCTTTCTAGCATTTCTATGAGGGAAAATTGTCAAATAAGCTCTCGTACTATATTCAAAAAGTCAATTAATCTTTTGTACTTTAAAAACAACCAATTAAATCATCAAACTTTGAAAACATAATGAATTGAGCTTTTTAGTAGGTAAACAATAAAGGCAGAATAAACATTTTCCTATTGGAAAGCATAGCTTTGTGGAACTTATTAAAGAGGTTTGGAACATCCTCCCATCTAACTTCTTAATAATTGTGTTACCTTCTCTTGTCGCAATCTTAGTGGAACGGAGGTATTATTACTTATGAAACAGATGAATGTTTCACAAGATTTTTGGATGTCATTTTAAAAGTGATCAAACTACTTGGGGATTTTTGGAATTCGCCAAAAATATGAATTGATAGTGCAACTTCAATGGAGAGATTGATTGCAAAAATATAATATTTACATCACCAAATGACCCATTGTGAGAACATGTACTTTCAAATGCAAAAAAGAAATGAACTATGTTAAAACCTTCGATCTCACCTGCATTTCCAGTTGTTCTTCCTTAGGCATTGGAGTAGAATTTGAATTGCTCTCCATTTGATTACTTTAGATCAACACATTCAATGTACTTTTTCCTTTTTTTAACCCGGAGAACAAACTACCAAAATCAGTGGAGTAAATATTGGGAAACATTTACCGAATATTATTAAAAATCGAGAAATACAGGTAGAGAGGAGGACTAGACTAAAGCCTCTCCAGAAAATAATAATCAACAATGATAAAAGACTAAAATCTAAAGGATGGAATGCCAAATCGATCCAATAAAAAAGCTTGTCTAGCCAAGGCCGGTAATTCCTCGATCCGTCTAAAAATTTGGGTTTCGGCCGCGGCCTGGCCCGCTAGATGGTGGGCTACCCAATTTCCTTCTCGCCATGTATGAGAAAAGGAAACCCTTCTCTGGTCCGTAACCAGCATCATTTCCTGAATCAGTCGACTCCATGTACCAGCATCACCATCGGTCAGGTAACTCAACGCCACCTTGGAATCCATCTCCACTTGAAAGCTTGAGTAACCGGCCGCAATCGCCCAAATAATAGCCAGAATAACAGAAAAGAGTTCCGCCTCCATACTTGAAGAAACGGATAGAGGGAAAGAGATTGCAAAGATCAAGTCACCTTAATGATTGCGCATACCCACACCATCGGCAACTTTCTGAGGTGTGTATGTAACGTCAGTGTTCATTTTAAGATCCGATGATGGTTTAATCCATTTCACAATTTGGAAATTGCACCCACAGAGTTTAAAATTCGTAGGAATAAGCTGCTCTTCAAAAAGAATATCACCTATTCCATGAATTTCATTCGCCCCAAACTTGTCGCCCAAGTCTGACAATAAAATCTGATCTGTAAAATAATTTTGCCAGGTATAGGAACAGAATCAGCAAATCCCCAAATGTAGCTAGAATAGCTCTTCCAAAGGTGCCAACAAATGATTCCAGGTAAATTATGTTTGAAAATATCAGTCATTTTCTTGCATCCTGCTTTAAACCACCACCCCATGAAAACTTGCCTAACTGTAGCTTCTGAGTTGGGTAGGGGAATTCCCATTTCCCCCATAAAATAATTCGAGATAGGCATCACTTTCTCACAATTAAAGAACAAATGATCAACTATTTCTTCATGAGCTTTACGGAAAGGACAAATAGAAGGATGAACCATTAATCTGAACCTACTTAGGTTATCTGAGATAGGCAGAATGTTTTTCAAAAATTTCCATTGGAAAATTTTTATCTGCATAGTATGTTTAGTGTGCCAAGCATGAGTGAAGGAAAAGGTACTGGGCAGCTCTCTCCTAACCAAATCATATGCAGACTTAAAAGTAAATCTGCCATCATCCTCTAATGACTAAGCCACATTACCATGTGTCCCTGTCTCACATAGATCACTAGTCATAGGGTTGATACTGCATATCCTTCTCCAAATAGGTGAATCGGTCACCTTTGGAGTCATATTTGTACCCCTGGGGTATCTTGCTTTGATGAAATCTGCCCAAACTGAGTTACCTTGTTTCCACTTCCACCATAACTTAAGAGTAAAGGCCTTTTCAACATCACTTAGAAGCCTGATACCAAGACCCCCTTCATCTGTAGGCAAACACAAATCCTCCCATCTAATCCAATGATACTTTTTCTTATTGTTTGATGATCCTCAAAAGAAAGAGGTCATTTTTTTCTAAAATAGAAATAACTTTCTTTGAGAGAGTGTCAGCAGCTAAAACATGTAGTGGTATAGAGCTCAACACATGTTTAATTAAAACCAATCTTCCACCCTGAGAAAGGTTTTTCGGTTTCCAAGGGGTCAATTTTGAATCAAATTGTTTAATCAAGTCTATACAATACTGATATCTATTTATACCTTTGTGTAAATTGACTCCAATATATTTTACAGATAGATCACTTTGCTGCATTCCAAGAATTCTTTGCATCGCTCTGCTTCTAGTTGTGGCATGCTTACCATAAATAAAAGAGGATTTATGGAGAGTGATAGTTTGACCTGAAACAGCTTGGTAAGACTTGATAAATCTGTTAAAATTTGCTAGTGACCTTGCATCCCCATTAATAAAGACCAACGGGTCATCAGCAAAACCTAGATGAGAAAGGGGATATCCAACATTCCCCATCCAATAAGGTTTAATATGCCCTTCCTTAATTTGCCAATTCAGCCCCCTAGAAAAAGCTTCTGAGGCAATTATGAACAGAAAAGGGGATAGAGGGTCCCCCTGTTTAACTCCTCATTTAGGATTGAAAAAACCTTGAGGGATACCATTCACCAAAATAGAAAGATAGGTGGCTTGTAAGTTATTCAGAATGATTTGAATTAAATGATGACAGAAACCAAATCTAATTAGGATTTCCCCAAGAAATTGCCAAGAGAGTCACTACTACATTTTTAGACCTAATATAACATTAAAGATGTAACATATCTATATTAGTGTTACATATTTCTCTAATGTAACACTTTTTAGACCTAGTGTATAACTTTCTAGAAGTATAAGTGTTACATTAGGTACCATAAAGTGTTACAATAGGTCCAATGCAACACGAGCAAATGTAATGGTAAAAAAGTGATACATTTTCTCTAATGTAACACTTTTCAGTGATATTGTAACACTTTTGGGTGATACATTAGGGGTTGAAATGTTGTAGTGAGTTTATCAAAGGCTTTAGCCATATCTAGCTTAATAACCACATTAGAGCCTCTGATTTTCTTGTCAATAGAATGTATCATTTCTTGGGCAATTAGGATGTGATCAGCTATGTATCTTTGTTGCATGAAACCAGCTTGTTTATGTGAGATAATTTTAGGAAGAATTCCAATCAGCCTAGTAGAAAGAACCTTAGTGCACACCTTACTCACAAAGTTTGATAGACAGACAGGTCTGAAATCTCCAAAATTAGATGGATTATCTATTTAGGGAATCTGAATAATTAAGCTGCTAGCCATACCTGTAGGAATAGGAACTCCCAAAAAGAATTCTGGCACCACTCTCACCACATCTTTGCCTACAATCTCCCAACATTTTTTGAAAAAATTTCCATTAAAACCGTCCGATCCAGGGGCCCCATTTTGTTTAACATCCCAAACAGCATCTTTAACTTCTTCCTCAGTTGGAATATTAATCAACATATCATTATCATCCCTTGTAACTAAGCCTGGAATGTACTACATGATGTTCTCAAGATCTACATTGGTTTCAGTAGAATAAAGATTAGAGTAAAAAGAAACTGCAACCTCTCTAATCTGTGGCAAGGTATGAACCAGCTGACCATGTTCATTCATTATAGAGGTAATAAACTGCATCTTCTGTCTGACCTTAACATATGAGGGGGAAAAGTGAGAACTTGCATCCCCTTCTTTGAGCCATTTAATGTGTGCTTTCTGTCTCCAAAACTTTCTTTCAAGATTCAGTTTTAAAATGAGAAGGGCTCTACTTTTGCTCCAGATTTCTCTATTTATCTCATTTGGGCAATCTTCATAGGATTTTTTTGCTTGTGTCACCAGAAGTTCGCATTTTTTTATGTCATAAAAAATGTTTCCAAATATATTCTTGTTCCACTCTTTAAGATCCTTTTTAAGACACTGAAGCTTAGAAACTAAGCCCTTCATACCTCCACCATAGAAATTTGAATCCCAAGATTTTTTCACAGTATCCAGAAAGGATGGATGGGTCAGCCAAACATTCTGAAATTTTAAAGATTTTGGACCACTGAAACTGTTGGGAATATTTTATGGTGTCCAATTTATTTAAATAACTTTGTATTTGTGTAGTTATTAGTCAAACATGTAATATGGGCCACAAATGTATATTAGCCCACTAGCTTCTTTGTAATCCATAAGTTAGCCAACTTCTCCTATAAAAGGAGGCCAACTTATGGAAACCCTAAGGTTTTGGAGGCTTGAGAGTTAGAGGCGAGATAGAGAGAGGGTTTGTCGTTGCTCTCCTTCTCGAGGGAGGGCAGCGGCCAGTTCACGGTATACCAGATTTGGTTTTAATCTCGATATCTTTCTATCTGCGTCTTCTTTATCTGCTATGGTTGTTTGATTGTTAAAGAATCAGGACTATCAATTGGTATCAAAGCCGAGATGTGAAAAAGGTTGAATCTATCTGCGTTTTTCGTATCTAACGAAGAACTGCTCTGTTTTTCTTCTGTTTTTCTTTTATATAGAGATTTGTTCCTGTAATCTTGTTTGTGAACGAAAATTTGTAAAAGTTATACTGCTCGAATCGCCATCATCTTACAATTCAGCAGTAGATCTCATTTTGTGATTTCGATAACTTTTTATTTTCGAAGATCTCTATATTGAAATATCGAAATCTCAGGTTCTCGAGGTTACAGGAGGGTTTTCAACTTGAATTTGATACTAGAAGAATCTCGAGATCAAGGGCTAT